TCAGCCTCTCAAGTAGCTGGGACTACAGGCTCCCACCACAACATCTGACTATTTTTTCACACACACTTCTCTTAAGTGAAACACCCTCATCAGTGCTGAAAGGCTCCACAAATAATTATTCCTCCATGAGGCCTAAGTTTCTCACATTTTCTGTTTGTCATTTCTTTACAGAGGAAAACTCAGGACAGGCTATGGAGTAGGGAGGAAAACACAAAGAGAAGAGAAGGGCACACTTGTCTGAAAACCCTAGGCTGAAGGGGTAATGTCCCATGAGTTAGGCAATCATGGTGGAGGGTGAGGGAGCTAACAGAGCTAGAGGTTCCCCAGAGAGGACATTGGCAGCCCTATAGATCACAGTCCCCAAGAGTCCACAGACATTTGGGCAGGAAAGAAGACAGCAATCAATATATCCTGTTCCAACACCTTGGCCCTTTGGGTCAAATGGACTCTTGGCAACATCTGGTAACTCTGTTCAATAAGCTTCCATTGTTTCCTGCTCCCCTTCCAGTCTGGGTTTTCTATCCCTCCTGCATGTGCTACAAAGGCAGGCAGAACCAGAGGCTTTGATGCATATTTCATAATACTCTTGTGGGAGGAACAAAAAAAAGCACAATACTAACATACCTTCATGTCTGGCTGGGATTTAGAATTTACAAAGCACTTTTACATACAATCTCTCTTGTTTGAGCCTTCTTGGAGAGAATTCAGAGGTGGCTATCCATGAAAGATAGGTCCCCAAATTCAGAGAGGACAGGAAGTCTTAAGCAGTACCATGCTGGACCCCCTAAAGTAGATAAGAGATGTGGTTAGGAAGCCACAACACACACCCCAATATGCAGCCTGTGCAATAGCAAAGAGCAAATTGAGCTCAAGGCGCCAGCTGAACACCATCTGGGCAAGAGTCCCAGGAGGAAAACAGAGAACTTCTGTTGTTAGTAAATGGGAGACGAGGTAAATTCGACAAAAAGCTATACAAACATCTGAAAAGCATCAAAGAACTAAAAATACTAAACAATTACTAGGCTGACGTCCCTGAGAAGACAGGAATCCAGATAGGTGAGCCCAGTTTGGGGGCACTTGCTCATTTAGCAGAGGTAAAGGAAAGGATAAGTTGAGCTGGGCAGGGGGAGGTTGGAATACAGAGCCCACCAAGGGTGGGACACTGCTAAACCACTGCCTGTTTTGGGCTGTGACCAGAGAGGATTGTATTCCTGGGTCAAGGATTAACCAGAAGCAAATCAGCCCTTGCATAGTCTGATAGGTCTATAACTTGGTTTCAGTGGCTTACAAAATCTCCAGCCTTGAATATGGATTAATGTAATTCCAGAATTTTTTAGTGGCCCTGGGCACCTAACAGAAGCAAACAAAAACCCTATCTCAAGGAAGAACTCATCCTAAGCCTCAAAATATTTTAATAAGGCTCACGCCTATAATCCCAGCACTTGGGAGGCCAAGGCAGGCAGATTGCCCTAGCTCACAGATTCAAGACCAGCCTGAGCCAGAGTGAGACCTCCATCTCTAAATAGTTGGGTGAGTGGCAGGTGCCTGTAGTCCCAGCTACTTGGGAGGCTGAGGCAAGAGATCGCTTGAATCCAAGAGTTTGAGGTTGCTGTGAGCTAAGACCATGGCACTCTACTAGTAGAGGGTGACCAAGTGAGACTCTATGTCAAAAAAAATTTTTTTAATAAGCCATTTTTCAAATACAATGTCTGGCACAAATAAAAAATAACAGGACACATGGGAATACAAATCATAGAGAATCAGCAGAAATTAGGCAACAGAAAACAAAGGGATTCCAGTTAATGGAATTATGGAACACAGACTAAACATTCTGGAAGACTCCCCCAGCAGCTGTGAAGAGATCTCTTCACTCTCTAGTCCATTCCCATTCTACAGTCTTCATCCTCAGTGTGCTTTCACCACTGTCTCCAGATTCTGCTTTCCAGAAAACAAATATGACCCTTTCTCAACCCTATGTGAATGTGGGAATCAAGACTCTTTGCAATTTGTTGTAAATTGCCCTTTTCAACCTCATTACATAGGACCCCTCCTTGTCACACACTCTAGTCATATAGCATTACTTTCCTGAGTATTCTACCACTCCTTCAATGTCCTTTTCTCCTGTTTCATTCTAAAAAATGCCTCCTTATCCTTCAAAGTCCAATTTAAACCTCCTCTCTTGGAAACCTTTCTACATTTTATTTTTAGACAGAGTCTTACTCTGTTGCTCTGGATAGAGTGCTGTTGTGTCATCTTAGCCAACAACAACCTTAAATTCTTGGGCTCAAGTGATCCACTTGCCTCAGTCTCTCAAGTAGCTGGAACTACAGGTGCCTACCATGACACCTGGCTAGTTTTTCCATTTTTAGTAGAGACAGGGTCTTGCTCAGGTTGGTCTCGAGCTCCTGAGCTCAGGTGATCCACCTGCATCGGCCTCCCAGAGGGCTAGGATTACAGGCATGAGCCACCATGCCCAGCCAGCCTTTCTGACTGTCAAAGCTTTGTACACATCTATATTATAATATTGACACACTGTATTATAATTACTTGTTTGTTAAGTCTGTTTCTTGATTATTAATTTCTTGAGATTAGCGTCTATGTTATTCATCTAGTATTCCTGGTGTCTAGTATAGTGTCTGCCTCAGAGTAAGTGCTTAATAAATATTTTTGAAAGAATAAATGCATATTCTTTTTTATTCTTTGAGACAGGTCTTGCTCTGTTGCCCAGGTTGAAGTGTAGTGGTATGTTTATAGCTCGCTGCAGCCTCCAATTCCTGGGCTCAAGTGATTCTCCCACCTTAGCCTCTCAGAGGTTTTTTTTTTTTTTTTTTTTTTTTTGAGACAGAGTCTCACTTTGTTGCCCTCAGTAGAGTGCCATGGCTTCATAGCTCACAGCAACCTGCAACCCCTGGGGTCAAGTGGTTCTCTTGCGTCAGCCTCCTGAGTAGCTGGGACCACAGGTGCCCATCACAATGCCTGCCTATTTTTAGAGACAGGGTCTTGCTCTCGGGCACTCGTGAGCTCAGGTGATCTTGGCCTTCCAGAGTGCTAGGATTATAGGCATGAACCACTGCGCCCAGTGAATAGTCTTACTAATATGTGGTATGGATGTTATGGACTGAATTGTGTCCCTAAAATTCATATGTTGAAGCCCCAACCTCCAATGTAAGCATTTGGAGACTGGGCCTTTAAGGGGCTAATAACAGTTAAACAGGTGATAAAGGAGCATCCTAATCCAGGAGGATTGGTGTCCTTGTAAGAATATGAAGCAACATCACAAATCTCTCTCTGATGTATGCACACACAGAGAAGAGGCAATGTGAGGAGACAGTGAGAAAGGGACCTTTTTTCTGAGACAGTCTTACTCAGTTGCCCTATGGTTGAGTGCCATGGTACCATAGCTACAACCTCAGTCTCTAGGGCTCAAAAGATCCTCTTGTTTCAGCCTCCTGAGTAGCTGGGACTACAGGTGCCCACCACAATGCCCAACTAGTTTTTCTTTTTTTGAGACAGAGTCTCAAGCTGTTGCCCTAGGTAGAGTGCCGTGGCGTCACAGCTCACAGCAACCTCAGACTCTTGTACTTAAGCAATTCTTTTGCCTCAGCCTCCTAAGTAGCTGGGATTACAGGCACGGGCCACAATGCCTGGCTATTTTTGTTGTTGTTGATGTAGTTGCCATTGTTGTTTAGCAGGCCCGCGACGGGTTCGAACCCGCCAGCCCTGGTGTATGTGGCTGGTGCCCTACCCACTGAACTACAGGTGCTGCCCAAGTTTTTCTATTTTTTTAAGTAGAGATGGGACCTTCCTCTTCTTCAGGCTGGTCTTAAACTCCTGAGCTCAAGCAATTCACCCACCTTTGCCTCCCAGAGTGCTGGGATTACAGATATGAGCCACCAAGTTTGTCCAAAAAAGGGACCATTCATAAGGAAGAGAGGCCTCGCCAGGAACCGGCACTGTTGGTATGCTGATCTTGGACTTCCAGACTTCAGAACTGGGAGAAAATAAATTTCTGTTGTTTTAAACCCTAGTCTGTAGTATTTTATTATAACAGCTACCACAGACTAATAAAGACCGTTTCTGAGATTTTAGACACGTTTAAATACACACTTCAATGAAAGTAAGAATTCAAGTCAAACTCTTAAGAATGAATAGGGAGTGGATATAATGATATTAAGAAAATGAACACCTTTTTAAAAAGTTTTATTTCAAGAACTTTGTTTTTTTACTGGTATTTCAAAAAAAGGTGGGTCAAAGTACAAAAAAAAAGTCAGTTGATAACAGCACGGGTTTAGAAATCACAGCAGCAGAAGCAATGTACAGACAGCACAGACAAAACAATCCAATGTATGCAATCCTGTTCAGTTTCTTTGCTTATTTTATGTATTTTTTTTTTTTGCCTCCTGTACAAAATACATCAAAGCATGCCATGAGATCAGAAAAAGAAAAAAGTTTAACAAATGGTTACAAGAAATAGACTCTGTACAAGAGGAGATAACGTTTCTTCCCACTACCCCACCCCACCCCCCATTTCCCCTCTTCTTGCTCTGGTTTAGGTTAAATTATTCTGAAGACAGTTCACCTCCAAGTCAGCTTGGTCACCTTTGCCACTCTCCAGTTTGGGTGACATGGAGTTCTGGATGTTAAATGACTCCTCCTCTTTCAGGCAGGATTTGAGAGCTTCCTGGATTTTGTGGGGAGCACCAGGATCATCCTGGAAGAGGAAAAAAGTTGGGGGAGGAGACAATGGGTAGATCAATCAAGTAATAACCTCAGATTTTTCTTTCTTGCTGGAAGACACATACTTAAGAGGAAAAAAAAGCTCTAAGGTTTGCATGAACAGTCACCAGAGCATCTCATTAGTAGCTACTTTTTAGGAAAGTTATCCTTAAAAGCAATGGCAAGATATAGATGAAAACTTGACAGGTAATCAGGTAATAATATCTATAATTTGGGCCAGTCTGAGATTTTCTTCTGGACGGAGATTGGGAGATATGGTCACTCTTAATATTTGGCCCAGATGCCTCTAAAATCTCTGCGGTGCCCTTCTTGGCCTATTGGGCCCTGCCTCCTTCTGGCTCTCTACTCTGCTGAGTTCTGCTTTTTTTTTTTTTT